CGGCCAACCCCCAGCACCGGGGGACTCCCCTCATTGATTTCCTTAGAGGTGCCTTGGAGCGGGAGTCTGGCGCGGGGCGCCGCGGAAGAGTGCGGCGCGGGGTACCGCACTCTCCCGCCCCCCATCACCTCCCCGCCGGCAAGGCGTTCCCCGCCCGTGTGCGGAGACAGGCATTGTTTCCCCGCTATTTCTGTCCCACTTCCAGTCCCCCAACAAATACTGCATCCCTGGAGACAGATGCTGAGCGGGAGCTCCAGGCCTCTGGAGATCTGGTTTATTTCCCCGGGGAGCCGGTGGGTGGGGCCTTGGAGGGTGCAGACCTGCCTGCCCGCCCAGCCCCTGTCGCCTGTCAAGGGCTTGGTTAATCTGAATTGCCAAAAAGAATTTGATTACCGGTGTCTCGGTTAACACGGGCCACCTCTTGTGCATTCCAAAGAGGAGCCAGTCTTTAATCCCACTGGGGAAGTCATTCCCTCTCAGGAGCCTACCAGGCAGAATGAAACCTGATTGAATTATGTTGGCAATCAAAAGCTTCGCTCTGTCTCAAAGCTGTAAAGATAGTATTTGAAGAAGCAGGGATAAAGCTCAGTTTGCAAAGTTTGCTGTTTGTCCTCCTGGTGGAATGATAATGGGTTCCACATTGTCCTGTTGGAACAGAGAGACATCCCTCCACCCATGTCAGCCCTGCAACTGACCTCTGTCTCTGCCCCTGCCGCTGTGACTTGGGCTGGGTTTTCATCAGAAATGGGACTCTTTCTTGAGAACAAGAGACAAACATTCTCTGAGAGCTGCCAAAGCAAGCGTCCTGCACCCTGGCGCTCTGGGCCCTACGCTTTCCCTAGTGTTTGTGTGACAGAGGCGAGAATTGAGCAGAAAAGGAAAAGGCAGGTCACACTTCCAGAAAAACAGATCTGGTTACGAAGGGCGTGCTCCACTCTGTAGGATTTTCCTGCACTCCTCCTGGCCTTTTAAAAATCAAATTTGTCCCTTTAGACAAACAGGCTCTACTCTTCATTTTGTGATTAGAAAGGAAAGCAGTGTGTGTGTGTGCAAGTGGCCACAGGGATGTGTGCACAGCAGCACCTTCTGCAATGACCACAGGGAGAATGATCATAAGGAGAAGAAAATTTTCTGTAAAACCTCAACTAGATAAGGTTCTGGTTTACCAGGACTTCTTGGGGTTAAGAAGGAGTTTTTGGAAAGGAATGAGTCACTTTCTCCCAACTCATATGTCTCTCTTATTTTTCATGATTTTCCTAATTCTTTCTTAGAATCTGGCTCAAGAGGCTGCTGGAAAGGAGGGAGGGGCATCTCTGAAGTTCAAGCTCCAGGGCCCCTCACTTGTGAGGCCCTGGAAGGGGGACTAGCAGTTGTGTATTTGTAATTTTCCATTTTTTTTTTTAATGGAAGCCTCAGAACTCACCAAGCCTGCGTCCACCTCTGTGTGCAAGATGCCAGTTCACTTCTCCATTGTATCTGGGGGCCTTTTAAATACTCCTTGAATTTGAATCATGACTTTTTCCCAACTAAGCGTAGCTTCCACAGCTTTTGGTGTTGTGCTTAAATTTACATTCAGACACTGTCTGCAGAAGCAGAGGCTTTCCGAGCCAGAGGGTGCCTGGTGGCAGAGGCTATGCTGTTGCCCACTTTGGGTTGGGCTTGGGACCCTGGAGAACCTCTGGCAGAGATGTCTGCTCTCTTCCAGAAAGGTGGCCAATTAGGCCAAGTGAAAGTCAGGTCCTCTGAGAATGTGTTCCAGCCTTGAGGTTTTTGAGCAAGGGCATCTTGAGAGTCCCATGGGAAATTTCTCAGGCAGGGTTGTGCACCCCTTAGGGATGGCCAGTAAGGGCTGATTTGAGGGGCTGTTTGTAGGGACTCTGATCTCTGATTCAAGTACTTTTTTGGGAATGATTTGAACCTGCTGATAGGGTGTGAAGATTCAGAGCCGCACATTTGTGACAGGAGTACCCTCGGAAAATGCTTTTACTGTAAAATAAATGATGGATCCGTGAGGGGAATCCACAGTTGGTTCTGGACTTCTTAGGATTTGATAAAGAGACTTGTGGCATGCACCTCAGGGGAGGAGAAACAAAGGCTTTGACTTTTTTTTTTAAATTTTTTTAGAGAGAGGAATTTTTTTTAATATTTATTCTTCAGTTTTTGGTGGACACAACATCTTTATTTTATGTGATACTGAGGATAGAACCCAGCATGCCAGGCAAGTGCCTTACCGCTTGAGCCACATCCCCAGCCCTGGCTTTGACTTCTTGACTCCTCTATATCTTGACCCACTGAGCCCCAAGAGAACCTCCTGTGTTCCTGCTTAAGACTATTTAGCATCCCCCAGACTCCCAGCTGCAAATTCAGGTTTTTGGAAAACCAGTACTTCAAAAGGCTTTGCAGTGGTAAACCATAAGCAGTAGGTTGTAGGAGTAGGGGACGTTTCACCCTTCTAGGGCACACATTGGTGTTCTATGTGAAGCTAACAGAGCGATTCGGAAGAGCTCAGGCTTCTCTCAGGCTTCTCTCCTGCATGGCAGCAGGCAGGCCACTGGCTCTACACCAACCGAATAGCCGTGGCCTGCTTTTCAGGTTCATTCATGACAGTCTTTGTGGCTTCAGGGAGCAGGACGCAGCCAAGGTGCATGGTAGCCTGAAGGAAAACTGATTTGCAGAGTCAGTGTCGGAGGCCTGGAGAGTTCACTCTTTGGTGTCCTGAGGATGGTGTGGCTCCTTTTCTGTTGAGGGGCTCCCCAGTACTTCTGCCCTATGCAGCCACTTTCCCTTTCAAAGCCCACAGAACCGCATGTGAGTTGAGGCTGGGAATGTTAATTGACCCACAGGAGTTGGCTGGAGTTACAATGGCAGGTGCCCATGCTGCTTTTACTGGGTCCTGGGCCACTCTTTCCAAAGCCTTTTAGAAAACGGGCTCTTCTCCTAGCTCAGTGGTCTGTCTGCTTTTGGTTTTGGTGAGTGCAGAAGTGAGATGCAGCCACCAAGGAACTATGCGCACAGCTTTCCAGTGTCCCTTGTCCTACAGCAATGCCTCGAGAACCCGTCCCTTCTATCTGCTCTCCTGCCCCACTGAGATTTATAGGGAGACTAATAATCTCCACCTCTAAGCCTGTGGGACACTAAGGACATTAGAATTAGGACTCTAGAACACACACACACAAAGCTGTGCAAGGCCGGCTTCTCCTCTTAGTGAGGTTGGGTGTCTGGCCTGGAGAGGCCTGTGCTGGCTGGATGCGGTGGGTGGAATGCACAAATTCCAAGCATGCTTCCACTGGTTCTGGAAGAGGCCTTGTGTCCATTGTTGCGGTGTGGACATTCTAAGCTGTGTCCCAGGGAATTGTCCCTTCAAGTGGGACCAGCCTCTTCTGCCGGGTTGTGGAGGAGTGCGTTTTCTGGAGGTTCGTGTTTCAAGGGTCTGATTGCTTATTATGCTGTGAACATGGCTGCCATCTTACCTGCTTCCCCAGCTCCACTTGTCTCTTTGACTGGGTGACTTGGTAGTCCACACTACCGACTGGTGCAGGGGATTTTCAGAATTTACGGAGAGGGAAGCTTGGTCCCCAACTTGTTTATCCCTTTTCCTTGGCTGTGGTGGTCCTGGATGGTGGGCTCAACCTGGGGGCATGGAGCCAATTCAGGCTGTCCGGCAAACCTGTCCCTCACCCAGCTGTCAGCTGTGTTGTTCCTTGTGCCCCGTGCTTCCTGGAAGTCAGCCCTGTGATGGACGGAGCATGTCTTACTTTTGGACGGAGCATGTCTTACTTTTGGTGACCTCATCATGCTTCTTAGTAGTGGCTTTCCCTGAAGTGTGTTTCAGCCCATCAAACCTGCTTTGTCCCTGTGACCCCTCAGGCTGTGATCCTGTCCTCAATGCAGGTGCTCTGGTGGGGTCTGACCTGTGGTGGTGTCCACAGGGCTGGGACACTGAGTGACTCTTCTGTCCACTTGGTTGGAACTCATGTTTCCTTTGCTCCTGGTGCTCATGATGGTTGGTGCTGACCTCTTGCTTTGTTCTCCCAGGCCCAGTCTATCCCCTCCCTTTGGCTGAAGCCTTGGTCCTGCCCATGAAGACTTGCCCACCATGTTTTATGGGACGCACTTCATCATGTCTCCACCCGCCAAGAGCAAGCTGAAGCGACAGAGCCAGCTGCTGTCCAGTGTGCTGTCCCGGACACTGAGCTACAAGTACAGGGAACTGGACTCCAGCTTCTGCAGCCTGGGTGCCAGCGATGACCCCGCAGAGCTTTCCACCCAGCTGTCAGCCCCTGGTGTCCTGAAGGTGTTTGGGGACAGTGTCTGCACTGGCACGCACTACAAGAGTGTCCTGGCCACGGGCACCTCCAGTGCCCAGGAGCTGGTGAAGGAGGCCCTGGAGCGCTATGCCCTGGACCCTGCGTGTGCCAGCCAGTACGTGCTGTGTGATGTGGTGGGCCGGGCTGGGTCCCCTGGACGGCCATGGCAGGCCCAGTGCTTCCGGGTGTTTGGGGATAACGAGAAGCCCCTGTTGATCCAGGAATTATGGAAACCCCGAGAAGGTTTATCCCGGAGGTTTGAGCTGAGAAAGAGGTCAGACGTGGAAGAGCTGGCAGCCAAGGATGTGGATACCATCACAGCAGGTGAGAAAGTGAGGAGGGGTAGAAGTTTCCAGAAAAGCCATTTGTCTAAGCACAGGGTAGTGGTTAGGAGAGGACGACGAGGCGCAGAGGTCGGGGTGTGTGTGGAGGGACAGGTGTGGAGGTAGTCTGCTCTGGAGGGAACCCTGCTGTGAGCCTTTGAAGACCCCCATGCCACGGTGCACCCTTCAGCCTGTCTGCCTACAGGAGGCCTGGTGGTTCCTTTTATCGGCTCCTAATATCTTCTTGCAGTATTTTAGGCCAAATCCGTCCTTCTGTTTAATCAGGTCTTGCCCAGCCTGTTAGCCCCAGGGAACTGTGTATGCCTCATAAACTACCAGGTTACTGTGGTGTTACAGAGGGCCTTCAGATGCCGTGTGAATCTTGGGGATCAGATGGAGGGACAATGAAGAAAGCTGTCACAAAGGCCACGTGGCACTTTCTGGTCACATGGTATCCAGCTGTGAACTGGCTTCATTTGGGTGTGCAGTGGGTTGGTGGGCACCTGTAGTGATTGCAGGCTGTTTTTGGGGAAGGCCCAGCCAGAGGTGGCTGGTTATTGTCCTGTGTGGGAAGTGCCAGAAGCAGGGTGGTTCTGCCTACTTGGGCTTGAGGCCTCGGCAGCCTGTGGCCCACAGCTTTGTGTCTGATGCTTGTTCATTTGGTGGAAAGAAGTTGATTATTTTGATAGGCATGCCTCATAAAAACAATTTTTCAAATACCAAATTTTTAAAATATATTTTCTTAGTTTCCTGTAAAAAACGATTACTTTATACAAGAAAGTAGACTGGGCTCACATTGCCCAGGAGAAGATGTAGAAGGGCTTCCTGTGACCTAGTCCTTCCCGAGGTGTGGTTTGCATGTAGTGTCATGGCCGTTCAATTCCCCCATCCCTGCTTGAGCATGAGCCAGGCTTGGGTTCCATGTATACATCAGGTGTGGTGATGGAGCGGTTGGCCTCACAGGCCAGGGTGCCTTGGGTCTGAATAGGACCCAGCTGTGGGTGCCATGGCTGGCTCTAGGTAACACTGGCCCTCTCGTTCCCTCAGGTAAGTTATGGTACCTCCTGAGGCATTTCCTGATCTGGAGAATGGGGATAACAGACACGAAGGGATTAGTGAAGCAGCCCGTGCCACCATGCTGGCCATGGAACTTAGCAAGTCCTGGTGGTGTAGTGTCATCCTGTTGAAGTGGCCAGCAATTCCTGTGAGTGCACAAAAGCCATGGGGCACCCAGCGTGGGAGGGGGTGGCAGTGGGAGTTCCTTCCCACTGGGAGGAGTCTTCTCTCATTGACACCGTGTAGAGTTGCTGGCATGTGATAAGGAAAAGCAGGCCAACTCTGCTTAAGCCTCATCAGATGAGCACCCCCATTCCCATTGTCTGCGTGGGGACCCTCATCTGCCCCAAAGGCTGCCGCTTACTGAGGTTTGGTATTCATCCTGACCCTGCCTTGTAACCACCTAGAGGACTTGCGTTCCCTCTGCCTCGTTCTAAAAGCCCTCCTGTGAGATGGAAAGTATCTGCAAAAGGTAGAGACGGTGGTGGGGTGGAGTGGGCATCTTGTACAGACAGAGCACCCTTGACATAAACGGCCGCACTGTGGTCATTCTTAGCTTCGCCTCCTCTTCCAAGTGGACGCCAGAGAGCCTGCGCCATGGAGCCATCTTGGGGCTGTGGAGTTTGGGGGCCAGGCCTCTGCCTGTGACCTGCACCCAGCGCTGTCCATCCTAAGGCTGCTGTGTAGTGCCAGAGGTGGGGCAGAGCCTTGGAAAGCCTGCTCTGCTCAGGCAGGTGGCCGCTGGCTGGCGCAGGACAGTGGGGCCATGTTTGTATTGCAGGACGCAGAGTTTGTTCTGAGCTCGCTGCCCTTTAGTGCTGCTCCTTCCACACCAGTCGGGGCAAGAGGAAGCTTTCACTTGGTGGTTTTTAATGCCTTTCCAATAAAGAGTCCATTGAGCTGGCCGGTCCAACTGACCCACTTGTCAGGCTACAGTGAGTCACGTTACCTGCCCAAGCAGGCCCCAGGCTCCAGAGACATCCTCCTGGCTGACCTCCTTCTCTCGTGCCTCCTGGCCATGCTCCTGAGCTCACCAATGGCCTGGGCTGTGGGGAGGTGAGGTAGTCCACTGTCAAGGGCATGCCCACGAGCTTCCTTTCATTCCAGCGTGCTCATGGAGCCTGGCTTGGGGCCAGGCAGGGGCGAGGCCCTGGAGAGCGTGAATGGAAGGGCAGACTCCATGCAGTCGGGAGCTGAGGATGGCCCTCAGGTGCTCAGTCCTGCTGCAGCAGAGCGGCGAGCAGAGCCTGACCTGGAGCCTGGAGCCCTTGGGCCGGCATCTCTGTGGCTGCCCTGCTGGGGTGGCACACACCCACGTGGGGATGTCTCTGGGATGTCAGGACGGCGGCCCCTCCTGAGAGCCTCACTGCCCAGGGCTCACAGCCCCCTGTCTGCCCCCTCTGTGGGAACTGCGGAGACAGAGACCCCAAGTCACTGTGAGGAGGCCACAGGAAGCCAAAGAGTTGTTCTTTGTAGCAGCTTGGTGACTGTCAGCATTAAACTGAAACATCCAGAAAGGTACGGCTTTTTTGTCTCTCTGGCAGGGGACACTTTTCCTGGCACTCTTGACTATGCTGCTGTGTTCCCTGCCTTACACGTTCCTGGGAAGGGCATTCAGACCTCCCAGGAAGCTGTCTGTTCTGAGCCTCCCCAGGTGCTGACAGGCTCCCAGTGTGGCCCCAGGGCAGGCCCACCCACAGTTGGTGGTGGCTCTGTGGGGCATTTGCTGCAGGGACATTAATACTACAGAGCTGGGTGCTGTCGTTTTCAGCAGGATGGAAGGAAGGGCCAGGCAGGTCCTCCCCCGCATTCTTTTCTCAAAGGACCAAAAATGAGGCTGTACCTACTTCCCCAGTGAGAGGATCATCTGACCTCATCTGGAAAAAGTGTGCACGTGTGTGCACGAGTGTGTGTGGATGAGGCTGGCCATCCAGAGCTTCAGGTGACAGAGTGATGGAACCCTAGTTTTTGTCCCTGGTCCCCCGGCTCTCGGGAGCTGGCTGTCCCTGCGAGCTGGCAGTGTTCAGCAGAGTGTTTGGGACTGAGTGCAGCAGGGAGCAGGTGCCCGTGTGGACACCTCCAGCAGACCAGTGTCAGGAGAGTCGCTGGGAGCCCCCAGGACATGAGAGCAGACAGCCTGCTGGGAGCCGTGGGTGGCTGTCAGGCACTTTAGGATTCAGTTTTCCAGGAGCACTGCCTTCTCAGAGCTCGGTTTCGGCTTCCAGGCCAACAAAACGGGTGTGCCCTGCGAGGGAGGTGGCATGGAGGGGGCGCCGGTGGGCAGCTGCTCTCCTGTTCCCCGGAGTTGGTATCTAGGGCTGTGCCGTGTGGAGAGGGTCCTGGGACCTGTTACTGAGATAAAGATGACAATCATGTGGCCTCCTGTGGCAGGGCCATGTGGTTTCTGTCAGGGCTTGGGAAAGGCAGGGAGAGGGAGGTGAGCTGAGCGCAGCATAGAACGGGAGGTCCCCACGCCCCTCTAGCCTCCTCTGCGGGTGAGGGGCTCAGATCCCGCCTCTCCTCAGCCTCCTCAGCCTCCTCAGCGGCTCGCAGGGCAGCTTTTGTGCGGCAGAGGGTGGAGCGGCATTCCTGCCTCCTGCCTGCTCCCCAGGTGTAGCACATGTCTCTGGATATTGTCACATGTCCCTTGGGGGACAGACCTGCCCTCCACTGGGAGCCATTTCATTGGACTCTAGGCCTGTGCTCAGCTCCCAAGGGCTATGTGTCATCCACACCCAGTCCTTGCCCTTGAGTGTGATGGCTGTGTGCCCCTGCAATGGCCTCACTTGTCTCTCTCAGGCTGCTGTCTTAGAGTTTGGGGTCCCTGAAGCCTGGCTCTGAGGGATATGTGGAGCTGCTCTGCCTGTGCGCCTTCCTGCATGGCCTTCAGAGGCCGGGCATTGGTTTCTTGTTGGGGAAGGGCCTCCTTTGCTTTGAGTGTCTTCGCCATAACGAGGCAAGCATAGAGAGTTTTTAAGGCCACCAAGATTTGAGGTTACCTCTGTAGGCTAAGCAGAGGCCAGGGGCCACAAAAGCAGCCATGGACTTTCAACCCAAACACTGCCATCAATGTCCTCTGTGGCTTCTGTACAGTCTGGCTCAGTCTGCGGGAGGGTTAGTGCTCGGAGAGAAAGCCCCTTCACAGGTCATAGCTTCCACACGCACAAGACCCCAGAATGGGACCAGTGTTCCTGGCAGGAACAGGGGAAGGGGAAGGGTGTCATGCAGTGGACTGCTGCCCTGGAGCACACCCAGCCAGGGGGGAACATGCTCCTTAGAGTTCGACTGGGCAGGTGGTGGCAGAGGTGGCAGAGGTGTTGTCACTGAGTACCCAGCTCAGTTGTTTTTGTCATGCCACCTTGTCATTCATGGACAGTGATTTCCCCTCCCCTGGGGACAGCCAGTATTTCACACATGATGCCATCTATGTCCCATGAATTATGTCCTGGAGAGCCCTCCAGCATCCTGGTGGTCATTTTCTTTTGAAAGTTTTTTCCTCCTGCTTCAAATATGACTTTTCAATAGCTCTTACCTTCAGACATAGGCGGCCATCTGCATTGTCACGCCTCTTTTCATCTGGGGGCAGCTGCCTCTCTGCAGATTCTCAATGATAGGATCACTGGGGAAAATATTTATTTCCTGTGGTTTTGCCAGACAAAACAACCAACACTTTTTCCCACCAATATAAGATTAGAAAAGCAATTGACTTTGAAAGACAGTTCAGGGCATTTCCAATTCAGAGAAAATTTATTTAGGTGGTTGTTCACAGTCAGTGTTCTCCTTCCATCTCTGCGTAGATTAAAAAAAAATCCATGTCCTTGTTTCATCATAGAAGCACTGTGTTGGAAGGTCCCCTGGGAGCTGGGTGGTCCCCACTGGGGCCTGGTGGGCAGAACCTCCTATCCCCAGAGCCTGGGGAAGCAGAGATATCTGGCATCATTCTATAAGGAGCCACTGTTGGAGAGGCTTAGTGTTGACACTGAGAGCACAGGAATGTCATCACTGGTGTAAGATATTTAAAAGATACAAAATAAGACAGATTGGCAAAGGAGTGGCCAAGGTGGACATTATAGTTGCCACCTAAATAACACAGAATTTCTTTTTTTTTTTTGTACTGTGAATTGAACTCAGGGGCACTTGACCAATAAGCTGCATCCCCAACCCTGTTTTTAAATTTTATTTCAAGACAGCATCTCACTGAGTTGCTTAGTGCTTCAATTTTGCTGAAGCTGGCTTTGAACTCACAATCCTCCTGCCTCCCAAGTTGTTGGGATTATAGCACCCAGCTCAAAAATTCTTGATAATGAATTTAATCAGAAATTAGCATCATGATGGGAATACATGTGCTATACTAAATTACCTGTTATCCAAGAAGGCAAAGAAAGAAAAGGGTTTTTAAACATAAAATGGGTTTTAAAGTTTACCTAAGATGTTCAGAAATAATTACCTTTGGCTATAAGGATCAGTAACAAGGATGGCACCTGTCCAAGGCTGGACAGGCAGTTGCTGGGCAAATGTTGTTATAGAAGTATTTCTGTATCAGGTGGCGGTGGCCTTTGTGCGAGGCTGAGGTTCTGGTAGTCTCCTGTGATAATTCTTGATATAAGATGTGTGTGCATGAGATCCTCTCCTTCATGATGCCACAGCTCTATTTATTTATTTTAGGTTTTGACACAAGCGACTTCATTTTGATCTGACAGCTTTCACCCAGGGGAGAATTTTAGCCAGGAAGAGTGTATCTGAGTGGGCTGCATTGGGGGAGAGCGGTCCAGGCCCTTCCTGGGGGTTTGAGCACAGGACTGGAAGGAATGCTTCTTCTGTTATCAGGCTGAGGACACGGGTGTGTGTAGGTAAGGGGGAGAAGAATACCAGTTATTCTTCAACCCTCAAATTTTGTGGTCCCAAGTTGAAAATTCTTGATTTTTCTCAGCACTTGACTCTAAATTGAGATACTCAAAATGTGGGTACACATTCATGGCTGTCATGAATATCTAATGATTTTATAAACCAAGTGACTCTTTTTTAAAATATATATTTTTTAGTTTTTGATGGACCTTTATTTAATTAATTTATTTATATGTAGTGCTGAGAATTGAACCTCACACATGCCAGGAAGCGCTCTATCACTGAGCCACAATCCAGTCCAACTAAATGACTTTCAATTCCTATTTTCTAAATCCTCTTTACTGTTTTACTGAAAATGACTTAAAAATTCTAGAAGTATATTTTCAAAACTTCACTAGTCAGTATTTGTCTTGCAACTGCAACAAAATGACCTGTTCTTCTAACCTTTTTGTATTGCACCAAATTTTAGTAAGATGAATTGGCCTCTTTAAAGCCATCTGGAAACAGGCAAACATAAGAGCAAATTTTGAATTTGGTTAAATGGAAATAGAGACCTCATTTTGTCCTGTCAACATTTGAAGTATTTCCAAGAAGTACTAATACTGTAGCTTTGTTATTACTAACATTTAAACCATGTTAATATCTACTGGTTTCCAAATGTGACCTATAATGTTGGTTGTTTTACAAGATGTGTTTAAATCACATTGAGTAGCATCTCATAGTTTCAGATACTATATATTAACATAGAAAATGCTAACCAAATACCTTTTTTTGTTGTTTGAAAGTTAAAAGTGGCAGAAATATCTCTAGAGGTTTCAGATGTATACAGATAGAGTGGAATCAGTATATTAAGCTGCCAGAGTCCATCTTTGCTGGGCTGTCTTTGGTCAGAGTGTACATCTCTGTGAAAGAATAGAGTCATAAACACCTTGCAGGAAAAGCCAAAGTGGGAAGGACTGATCTTTTCCACATTGAGATTACACTATGAAGCCATGGTAACTGGAATTATGTAGTTTTAGGGGAGGGAACAGACAAGTAGACCAGAGGAATGGAATAGAGAGGGCAAAAGCAAATGACCCAGGAAATGTGTTGTGATGTAGAAACCAAAATAAATCCTGAGGACAGGATTTTATGAAATGGTGTTGGGATAATTGTTTTCACCCATATGGAGAAAAATAAAAATTAGATCCTTACTCCAAATACATTAAAAACCCAGATGTCAAAGGTAAAATTATGTAGAAAAAGAGATTTCAAAAATAAGGCTTAAAAAGTGCATGCTATAAGAAGACAAAAGTAGGGGCTGGGGTTGTAGCTCAGCGGAAATGCACTTGCCTAGCATGTGTGAGGCACTGGGTTCGATTCTCAGCACCAAATATGAATAAATAAAATAAAAGTCCATTAACAACTATTTTTTTAAAAGAAGAAAAAGTAGGTAGATTTTATTATATCAAATATAAACTGATGTAAATATCAAACAAACTGAAAAACACTATATAGATAAAATGAAAAAATAGGTGATATCCTGGAAGAAAAAGTTTGCAATATTTAAAACTATTATGATGAATAACTAGAATTAAGTAATAATGTGTTTTAAATGCATAAATAGGTGAGGACCCAAGAAAACAAAGGAAAGTGTAGGGGTGAAAAAAAGGGACCTGAAAACTTAGACGCTTAGCTGATTCTCAAACTATTATCGCCCTGGAGGCATCTGTCAGTCTTGGCAACCAAGAAACTTCAAGCTTAATAGCTGCCCAGGAAAAGACCTAAAGCCCTTGAGGCTGTAAAAGGTTGGGAGTTGGAACTGATACCGCCTCCACCCTTGAGAGAGGTGAATAATTAAAGGGTGCTGAGAGAAAAGATGGAATCAGAAGGATCTTCTTCCTGGTAAGAAATGACAATTGTCATTCTTAACCTGGGCTCTGGGTAGGGCAGACTCTGCCTTAGAATTGAAAACCACTGTGTCCTACCATGTATTTGGGGTTCAACTTGCACTTCCATGGTCTGGACAATCCCTGGATGGGAAAGTAGATGACAGTGTCTGCGATGTGGTGGCGCAAGGGCATCGGGTGGAAACCACGCAGATCCTCTTCGGGAGGACGCTTCCTCCACACAGGCATCCCAGACCTCAACAGAAACGAGTTCACGTGCAAAATGACAAGCAGTGCTCTCTGAGCCAGTGGAAAACCACGAACTGTATAGAACGGGGTTCTCGAGAGCGTTAGAATTAGGAGTCATTGGTTATGCTGTGCTAAATAATAAGTATGATTGATATATTTAAAGAAATAACGGTACATACAAATCATGCAGAAACACAGTTACTCCAAAAGCAGAGATGACTTGAAAAAGAACAAGATTAAGCGTCTGCGGAGAGGAGAGAACTGGGAGACAGGATGAGGTGTACCATGTGTTTTAAGGAAAAGAAGCAGGAGAATGGTGGGACAGGCCTGAGAATGAGGAGGTCAGGAGATGCAAGAGTATGTGAGTCAACCCTC